AAGGAAGGAAGGAAGGAAGGAAGGAAGGAAGGAAGGAAGGAAGGAAGGAAGGAAGGAAGGAAGGAAGGAAGGAAGGAAGGAAGGAAGGGAAAAGCTTGCCTCAGGCAGATCAGCATTAAATAGTCCTTGTCAATTCTCTTCCCAGGGCTCTTCAACCTTCGAGCCAGTGACATCCCCTATAACCCCTTCTTCTATTCCTACACACTGCTCACAGACTCTTCTATCAGGTATGGCTTTTCCTTAGTTTGCTGTCGTGGACTTCCTCCAACTTCCACCCTCTCGATGCCCCACCACTGATCCTGCCTTAATGTACAGCCCTCTGGTTGTCCATCAGCTTGGTGCCTGCCCCAGCACGACCCTTTAGAAAACCCCCTGTTGGCTTTTCCTGACTCTTTAAAACTCTGTCCCTGTTGAATCCCAAATCTGGCCTGCTTGGTTCCCTGGTGCTGGCTTCCTTTGACCTCCAGGAACAAAGGGACTGTGACTGCCTCTGATCCTTTGCATTCTTAACAGATGCTCAGGACCCTCCTTGCCTTCCCGCCCCACCCAGGTTGTTTGCAAACAAGAGTCGCTTTAGCTCTGAAACCTTGAGCTATCTGAACTCCAGTTGCACAGGCCCCATGTGTGTGCAAATCGAGGATTACAGTCAAGTTCGTGACAGCATCCAGGCCTACGCATTGGGAGATGTGAGGATCTGGATCGGGACCAGCTATACCATGTATGGGATCTATGAAGTGATACCCAAGGTGGGTTTACCAGGCCCCAGCCCAAGCCAGGCACCAATCTCCGCTCCAGGCCTGAGAAGTCTTAATCTAAAGTGGGATGAAACCCCTCAGCCATTCAGTCACCTGGTCAGCCAACAACTGTGCAGTGAGTTCCCTTCTTGGCCTAATTGGGAAGAGACAGAATAGGAAACAGGGATGTTCGTCCAGAGAGTTCATAAAATTGTCAGGAGGCTGGAGAGTATATGGCCTGATCTAGCAGAGACTTTGGAGTCAGCCAAACTTGAAAATGAATTCCAGCTCCACCCCTAACTAGCTGTGCAGTGACTTTGGACAAGCAACTTAGCCAATCTGGGTCTTTTTCTTCACCTATAAAATGGCAATAAGAGTCCCGACCTCACAGGAGTCGTTCAGTGGAGATTTAAAGGAGATAGTGTATATGGCTGACACATGGTAGGCGTTCAATAAATGGTAGCTGTCATGATATGTACAGGAAACTTACACTGTCAGGATAGCCTGTCGAGGCCGGGCGCGGTGGCTCAAGCCTGTAATCCCAGCACTTTGCAAGGCCGAGACGGGCGGATCACGAGGTCAGGAAATCGAGACCATCCTGGCTAACACGGTGAAACCCCGTCTCCACTAAAAAATACAAAAAACTAGCCGGGCGAGGTGGCGGGCGTCTGTAGTCCCAGCTACTCGGGAGGCTGAGGCAGGAGAATGGCGCAAACCCGGGAGGCGGAGCTTGCAGTGAGCTGAGATCCGGCCACTGCACTCTAGCCCAGGCGACAGAGTGAGACTCTGTCTCAAAAAAAAAAAAAAAGAATAGCCTGTCGATTGACTCAGGCCAGACTGTGATCCATCCCAGAGTGCTGGTGGGATCCAAAGATAGGGAGTTCACTGCCAAGCAAGGCAGTGTCAATCAAGAAAGCCTTCCTGGAAGGAGAGAAGGTTCAGCTGGACGTGGAAAACTAGGAAAAAGAGAAAGCACACAGAGGAGAGAGCATTGCCAAGAAACGGTGGCAAGTCTCACCTCTGCTGGGTCCTCCTGCCAGTCCTTTGAAAACACCCCTGTGCCTCCTTTACTGTGCCCCCAGACCTCCTTTTCTCCTCCCTGCCCCCAACAGGAGAAACTCGTGACAGATACCTACTCCCCAGTGATGATGACCAAGGCAGTGAAGAACAGCAAGGAGCAGGCCCTCCTCAAGGCCAGCCACGTAAGTCCACGTTCAGGCAGACATAGCCTTTTGGGAGTATCCAGCCTAATGAGTTAGAAAGGAAAGGCTTCCAGAAGAGCCTGAAGAAAACCCTCAATGAAACAAAGAAGCAAGCTGGGTGTGGTGACTCACGCCTGTAATCCCAGCACTTTGGGAGGCCAAGGTGAGAGGATCGCTTGAGCTCAGGAGTCCGAGACCAGCCTGGCCAACATGGTGAAGCCCCGTCTCTACTAAAAACACAAAAATTAGCCGGGCATGGTGGCAGTCACCTGTAGTCCCAGCTACTCAGGAGGCTGAGGCATGAGAATCGCTTGAACCTGGGAAGTAGAGGTTGCAATGAGCTGAGATCATGCCACTGCACTCCAACCTGGGCGAGACTAGGTCAAAAAAAAAAAAAAAGAGAGAGAGAGAGAGAGAGAAGGAAGGAAGGAAGGAAGGAAGGAAGGAAGGAAGGAAGGAAGGAAGGAAGGAAGGAAGGAAGGAAGGAAGGAAGGAGCTAGCAGATAGTCAAAGGGGGAGGAGGAGGAGGGAGGAGGAGGAGGAGGAGGAGGAGGGTTGGAGGGTTGAGCGGACCCTTGATTGTTTGTTCCATGCCACATGTCCTTTTTGTCTTAATTTTGAGTAGTTTTTGACCTTTTGTTTATGAGCTAGGGTGCACAGTTCAATAGTTCTTTTAATTCTGTTCTTTCTTATACATCATTTCCTCTCTGGGCCTCAGTTACCCCCATCTGTAAAATGAGATCTGTATATTAAATCCTTTTTTGGCCTTGTGGTTTGTTGATTCAAATGAATGTGTATTTGCTCTGGCTGCATCTGGCACATTCAGTGTTAAATATTGCTTCATGAGTTCCTCTGCATAATAGAGGATGGCTCAATTTTTAAAAGAATTCTTGTTAGAATTAAGATATTATGCAAAAAAAAAAAACTTTTATCTTATAGGAAATTTTAGAGACACACAAAGTGAGAAAATGGCATCATAATCTCAGTGTCCTTCACCCAGCTTCAGCAATCCCCTTCAATCTGTGTGCATTCTTGTATTTGTCTATAACCCATTATTCATTATTACCTACCTACCACCCATGCTGGATTCTTTTAAAGTAAATCCTAGATGGCGTGTCATTTCTGCTGTCAACTTTAGAACTCTTTCCAAAAGCAGGAACACACTGTGATCACATATAAACACTATGGCCTGGCGTAAATAGCTAATTGACATAACTCCATCCTGGGCAGCTGTCCCAATCTCATCACCGGAGCCTGTGGCTGCAATCAGACTCAGCCAAGCTCCTCTGTTTCCCTGCCCCAACTCCAGGTCGGGGCCTTCTGTGGCTGAATCAGTACTTGGTCACAGCTGGAGAAGAACGTGCCCAAGGCACAGTAGACGGGATTCTGAGGCAGAGCTCGTGGATAGTCCGGTGAGCCACGGCCATCTGCCTGCCGTGTTGCAGTGGGGGGCAGGGGAGAGATTTGTCCCCTTACTTAAACAGGAAGAGAGTCTTTGCACCTGTCCTCCTGTATACGGAGCTGGGTGGGGAGGGCTCATAGAACAAGAGGAACAGGTTCTTGGTTGGTCAGGAGTTGAGCAGGGGCGTTGGATTACATTTCCGCGCTGAAGCAGGACAACTTGAAGGCCACAACTCAATGGCGTCCCCTAGGCGTGTCTGCTTCAGGCACAGATCTGGCTCTCCCTGGGGGAGGCTGTAGCTCAGACCAGGTCAGCCCCTGGACCACTTGAGAATGTCCAGGTAGAGAGGAGGATTCCAAGGCATACTTCCTGGCCCAAGTCATAGACTGATGTAGAGTTTGAAATTGCAGGATGTCTTCCAGGACTGGGGGAGGTTACATAAGATACAAAGGCTGAGTTTCTTCACTGCTATCAAATAAAATGGAAGTGGAGAGGGAATAGGTGAATTATCTACAGTGTGTCCTCTGATCCTCTATAAATGACAGGTGAAGCTTAAGGAGATGGAAAACTCAAGTGAGGCTGCAGGAGAGCCAAATGGTATCTAGTAAACGCTGTGACCTTCTGTTTAGTTTATTAGATATCCCAGGCCCAGCCCAGTCGAGGCCAATTCATTTGACCATACCACCACACCCTTTTTCCAGAGAAGAGCAGTTTCTCACCTGAATGATTTAGTTTGAAACCATCTCTGCTAGTGAATACAGAATGCTTACTGGCCTCTACAGGTACTTGGGAAGTGTTTCCTAGGGCCCTGTGCAGGGGATCCCGTTGTGTGTATAGAGGAACAGAGGTGAGGGAGGATGTTCTGGGAACAGTCATTGGAGGTCTGAGGCCCTTAGCCCTGGGGGCTGGGAGAGGAGCTCAGTGTGGGTGGGAGTTGCTGTATTGGAAAGGCCTGAGCTGCTGGAGGCTAGGGGACCTGGAAGGGAGACACCATTGGATGGTTTTCTGGCTGCGGCGTGTGTGTATATTAGCTAATGCTTAAAGCTCACAGGTCACATGTGAAGAGAGGCCTGTTCACTCAGCCTGAACCAACCAAAGTGGAAGGCCCAAGATGCGGAAGCTAGCCAGGTGTTTGTGCCTATAGAAAACAAACCCTGCAGGCCTGCCTGATGAAATGTAGAGCCAAGCGTGACCAACTGCCTCCGCCTGTGGGCACAGCAGGAGAAGTCAGTGCCACTCCAGGAGTGCTGATATGTCCCAATTCCCCACATCCTGGTGTCCCTGGTGTCTCCCACGCACATGGCTGCTGCCCCAGCCCTATACCCACTCAGGCTAAGTGTACAGTGAGTGCTCCTCCGCTTTACCACCTCTTGCTCTGCAGCCCCACCCTGGAGAAGACCCTCCTTCTCTGCTCTGCTTCTTCTCGGGCCCTCTCTCAAGCCATGGCAGGAGATTAGAGACAAAGGGCAGAAGGAGCATCAGATAGAGCCAACTCTTCACGCTGTACTCGCATCCTCAGTGCAAGCCCTTGGCCTCCTTGAGCCTTAAGCTGTATGGAAAAGGAGACAGGCTGGGCTGCAGGAGTCTCTAGGAGGCTCTCCCAGCTGTCATTCTGGACTTCACCTCTCTCTCCTCCCGGGAGTCAGGGCCTAGCTCGGCCGGGTGCAAGATTAGCAGACCTGTGCTGAAAACTGGCAACAGGCTGAGTTCTCTTCGGGCCTTTGGGATGGGAATGGCTTCCCCCAGAGCGAATCGCCTAGAAAACCAGACAAGTCCTCCCACAAAACCTTATGTAATCAAATACAAAATTCGCTACCCCCTCTCGCAGCATTCTCCTTCTCCCAAGCCCCGGCCAGGCTGAACTGCAAGCTGTCCTCCCAGATGAGATGTACCTGCTGGACTCAGAGGCAGTACTGTGGTATATCTTCCCTCACCTCACCTGGCCTGAATGTCTCTGCTCAGACCTCCTGGCCTGCAAAGTCAGCCAGCTTTCCTTCTGAGCCATCGTTCTTTGTCTGAGAAAGGAGAGACCTGGAATGGAGCCCCAAACATCCTTCCCATTTTCACACACAGGAGTCCCTGCTGAGTTGAAATACACAGAGGCTGGAACAATGCTTAGGACAAACCTTTACTCCTGTCGGAATAGGAAAAGACCTTGCTCAAGTGAAATGTTTGCTGTCTTTTTGTGTGTGGGTTGTTTGTTTGCTTGTTTATTTTTGACAGATCTCACCTCTGTGTGCCCAGTTTGGAGTGCAGTAGGCGCGATCTTGGCCTCACTGCAACTCTGCATCCCAGGTTCAGCGATTCTTCTGCTTCAGCCTCCTCCCAAGTAGCTAGGACTACAGGTGTTCACCACCATATGCCTGGAGATATATATATATATATATATATATATATATATATATATATATATATAGAGAGAGAGAGAGAGAGAGAGAGAAGAGATGGAGTTTCCTGTGACCAGGCTGGTCTCAGGCTCCTGACCTGAGGTGATCCACCTACCCTGCCCTCCCAGAAAAGTGCTGTCCCAAAGTGCTGGGATTACAGACATTAGCCATACCAAGCCTCAAGTAAAATGTTTTCTAAGTCACATGTTGACCACAGTCTGAGCAACTATATTCAATGTCCTGCCTGGCTACACAAACACATACACCCCTCCTCTCACCCACCCCGTACACACCCTGGACAACCCTGCCACCAACATCATGTGAATCCTCAGCCCCCCTCTTCCCCATGGCACTGTTCTGGGGTAGAGGTGGGGAGCAGATGAGAGAAGCAACCCTTCGGCAAGCTACCTTGCAATGTACAACCTGAATGCTCAGACATGACAGCCATGTTAGAATAGGCTAGCCTGGCCAGGCATGGTGCTCACACCTGTAATCCCAGCACTTTGGGGCTCAGGCGGCAGATCACCTGAGGTCAGGGCTTGAGACCCCAGCCTGGGCAGCGTGGTGAGACCATCTCACAATAAAAATACAAGAAATTAGCCGGGTGTGGTGGAGCATGCTTCCCAAGGAGAGCTGAGGCAGGAGAATCACTTGAACCCGGGAGGCGGAGGTTGCACGTGAGCCACATAAGTAGTGTGCGTGCACTCCAGTCTGAGCAGCAGAGCAAGACTCTGTTTAAAAAAAAGATAACCCTATTCCTTCAAACATGTAACCAATCATTCACACAGAGTTGAGCTGAGCAGAGCTGACCTGAAGGAATTTCCCTTCTCATTGGAAAAGTAGACCCTGTGGGAAGCATATAAATTGGGAGCAAAGAGGCCGCACTGGCAGTGGAGGAGCAAAAGAGTAGTTTCAAATGGTTTCCCAGTCTCTATCCTGTAGAAATGGCGAATGTACTAACAACAGAGGCTCTTTGCTTGTTCTGCTTTGGCTCTGGGGATCTGGTATGAGCTCAACAGCCAGCAGCCTTTGCTGGTCAGGAGTTTGATGCTGGGTGTACTTGAGATGGCCAGTAGGCAAAGGGAAGTAGATTTATGGGGGCGTGCTGGAGATGAAGTAATATTCCAGAGTAAAGGTGAGGCCAGAAGAAATAGTCACCTCACTTCCCTCTTCTTTCCTTCTGAAGAAGAAGGCCACACACCCTATGACCC